CCCCCCTCTACCCCCCCCCCCCCCGCGGGTCACACAAAGCTTTTGATTTTGATTGATGTGTCATTTTAAAAGCCCGTGGGACCACAGCGCCACCACCGGGTCTATAAATACAGTCCATTGTGTTGCCTGGCCCGACTCACTGTCGTCCACCATCCAAACAAGTCACATGACCCAGTCATAATACCTGCCCCCCCCCCCCCCATCATTAACAGGAGCAGGCCCAGAATAGCTGTCAGTGAGGACAGGTGTTCAAGGTCACAGGTTCAAGTCCCTCAAATGGACACTGAAGGAACACATGAGCAAATGACGGGGCGGGGGTCAGACAGAGGCAGAGAGAGAGAGAGGGTGACCACACGGTGGACTAACGTTCGTTGTTAAAGGTCAGAGGAGCAGGAACGACCGCAGAGACCAACCTGCCTCGAAATGATCATCTTTAGCAGAGATTATCAGAGTGGGGGGGGGGGGGGGCCATCATTAACAGGAGCAGGCCCAGAATAGCTGTCAGTGAGGACAGGTGTTCAAGGTCACAGGTTCAAGTCCCTCAAATGGACACTGAAGGAACACATGAGCAAATGACGGGGCGGGGGTCAGACAGAGGCACAGAGAGATTATCAGAGTGGGAGGGGGGGGGTGAGGGGGGGGCAAATCTGTCCTGTGAGAGTGGGTTCACGGCTCAGAGAGCGGCCCACGGACCACGTGTTTTCTCCTGGTAATCCCTAAAATCCCTCATATTCCAGGGAAAAACACTGAGGCCAAATCTGCTTTCACCAAGTTACGGTGTGTGTGTGTGTGTGTGTGTGTGTGTGAGTGTGTGTGTGTGTGTGTGTGTTGCAGCAGCGTCCGCTCCACTGCTGGGAGGAACAGATCAGTATGAACGGCATCTTTGTGAACAGAGCTGATCTTCACTGAACACTGTGTGTGTGTGTGTGTTTGTGTGTGTGTCCACCTTTGTCCATTGTGAACAACAAACACTGGTGTGTGTGTAGATGCCAGTCCAGTGGGGGGTCAGGGGGGGGGTCGGGGTCAGGATCAGATCCCAGAACTCTGGACTGGTTCTGGTCCACGTTGGCCCACATCGTCGGCTGGTTGACAGAACCAGAGAATGTGTGGAACCCAGTTCTAGAAGAGAACAGTGTGAGCTGCTCTAAGGCCAACACCTCCTGTTAGAGCTGGTCGTTAGCGTGTTAGCATGTTAGCACAGACTGGCTAATGGACCAGCAGAGAGGACTTTAATGGACCTGGAAAGCAGATTAAACATGATTAAGGCAGA